AGGGGGGGGGGGGGAAGATCAGAAGGGATATTTTGTGTTGTTGAGCTTTGTCCTGCATTGGTCCAATGATGCATGTCACATTTGGGATCCAGCAGCAGCTTTCACTACAAGTCTGCATCATGTCATATGCATAACTTTTAAAAGGACTGTTTTAAAAGAAAACAACCCAAAACAAGATAAGGGTGATATCTGTTACGTGATGTTGTGTAGCTTTTAAGATGTGCAGGAGGTTATAGCATCCTGTAAAAAGTTCCCATCCCTTAAAACGTGGTGTTTCGCTGTTGTTTTTCTAGATCTTCAGGAAAGCCAGAGCGGTGTCTCCTTCTATTCTTTTCTTTGATGAAATAGATGCCTTGGCAGTTGAAAGGGGAAAGTAAGTAATCCTGTTACAAAAATAACTGATGTTATTTTCTGATAAATTGCACTTCCATTGTGCAATCACAAGTTTATTTACCTTTCTGGAATTATTTTGTGAAGTACATTCACTCCACATGCAGAGGGGGAGCGTTTGTGGCTTCTGCTCATGCGTATATAACTTGGCATAAACAGGTAAGCTGGTGGAGTTCCTCCTTTCTCATCTCATTAGCAGGAACAATTCTGCTGATTCTCATGCCCGTTGGCTCTTTTCTGTAGTTTTACCTTGCATTTATTTCCAGTAACTAACTCCTTTCTTTTCCCAGGGTTGTTGCAATGGCCTAATTTGGTGCCTCCATCAAGAAAACAATACGATCATATGGTGTATAACAGGAATTTCCAAGGAGACTACTCATGTACCTAAATTTACCCTTACATTTAAACATTATGGCAGGCTGGGAAAAACTTAATGAAAATATTTGGGAACACTTACGTCCTTTCATGTGTGACATTAAAAAGGTTTATTGCACAAACAGCTAATTGTATTTTGTATTTAATATCTTGCTTTGTGATCATTCCAAGGGATGTTTAGCTTGTGTTTGAAGAAGGATTGTAGCAGGTTTTAGTTGCTACTAAAGCATTTGAGACTTGACAGGTCTTTGTAAATGGTCTTTCTTGGGAGATACTTTTTTAGAGACACAACAACTACTTGTGAGCAAGTGCTTTTGTCCTGTTTTGTTTTGCATGCAAAACTATCAGATATGTGCATGTAGAAGGTATTTTTCAAGTTCAAAGGTGCATCACAGCTTCATCATTTTTCTGGAAAAGAAGCTCCCTTGCCACTCCTACAGATTTCTTTGTGTTGCTAAAGGGCCATTCGTATCTCCAGGAAAGGCTAACAGGTGTCATTTTGACATTTCGGAGACACAAGTAAATTGTTTGTGTTGCAGGAGGTGACATCATGGACAGCACAGAGCTGCCCTTGGAAACTGCTAAGGAATCAACACATTTGCTGTTGATAATGTGAAATCTGATGGAAGATATTTTTATCAGCATCCTTATCATGTGCAGTTTATGCAACTGTGAAATTTGTGAGCTTCCTAAAGTGTTATGCACTGAAACACCTGCTGCTTATCACAACAGAGAAAGAGCAAAAATGTGTGCTTGAATCAAGCCAATGGAGGGGAAAACACATTATCTCCTCCTGCTGCAATCCTTAGTGTGTTTAGCTTTCAGACACACCACTTCATCAAGATAAAGCCTTGTGGAAAAATAAGCCGTAATACATTTTAATCAGCCTTTTCACATGGTGCCATAGAGGTGTTGAGTTTGTTTGTTTGTTTGCTTTATCCTTTTCAGGAGTAAACAACCCAATTTTACCTTACCTGGAACAGTCTGTGGTGGGTAGTAGGCCTGGTGCAGCTTGCTGAAGAATGTGGTATGACCTGCTGCAGTGGTGTTGTGCTGGAGACATCTGGTTTTGGAGCTTTAAAAAGAACAGGGTGGGACGCACAAATATTTCATTGTCAAATCTGAACCAGATGGGAGGTAAAATATGTAGCAGAGTTCTCATAAAATTCATCTGAAATTAAATGGTGTAGGAAACCAGACAAGGCACTTATTAGAAATGGCCTTTTTTTTTTTTTACAGGCTGACTTTGCACAGTAGGAATTTGCAAATGCACTAGAGATGCTAACGATTTGTGGCCTCTGGAGATCCATTTCCTGTACTATTACTAACCATACTGAAGTTTTCAAGGAAACACCTGTTTATATTGTCTCCCTATTCCCTCTCTTGGTTGAATTAGTTTTCTCTGCCTTGGCAGTGAAAAACACTCTGTGATACAGCTGTGTAAGAGTTTTTCCTCTCAGTTTAAATCCTTGTTAGGATGCTGTGGGCTTTGTGCAGAATGTGCCACATCCCAAATCTCCTGGGTAGGCAACCTTTCCTGGTCCTACTGGGATGTGTCCAGAGGTACAGAGAAGCCAAAGCTGTTAAGTTGCGAGAGTAGTTTTATGCAAAATTCTGATCTGAAATACAGATGTGAAGCAACACTGAGTAACTGCTTTAATGCTTTTAGCCAAGTATTCATTAACCCATTATTACTTGTTTAGATTTGACTAAATCTTTTGGGTTAGAACACAAATGTTTTGCTCCCAGCCTTCTGTAGAGATCACTGAGCAATCCCTTCTCAGCAGCAGGCACATAGGAACTCATAGGCTTGGTAATTAATTAGCGTGCAGGTAGATCAGGAAAGTTAAAGGATTGCCTTGTTTGCACCATTCAGTACAAGGTGGTGGATTCTGTCCCTACAAGCCATTACTCCATGGCAAACACTGTAGCTGCATTCAGCTATGCTGCAGTTTTCTTTATTACGCATTCCCAAGCCATAATTCCATAACTGTAATTACATCTAACACTCTACCTAATGCCTTGTGTCACAGTTTTGTTTTATGAAGTGTATTTGTGTGTGTTTATTAGTTAGAAGGAATAATACTTTGAAGTCAGCATCGAAATTATTTGGAAAAGATTATTTCTTACCCAGTCTGCTTAGAAGTGCCATATGTTTTATCCGTATGAACTAAGCTCCTGGGATTTTTTCCCCCTCTTCCAGTTTTGCATTCAGACAACAAACTGATGCATATTAATCAAGGAATTAAAAGCGTGGGCTGGATACATATCAACCTGAAAAACAACTTATGGAAATATAATCCTGTAACTCTGAAGCAAAATAGTTGTGTAAGGAGCAGTTGCTTGATGGAGGAGTCTGGAGATCCTTGATGCAAGAGGATGAGAAGGTGGTTCTGAGAGGACTTGAGTTTCCGATGTGGTAGTGAAGGCAGATAAAGATATTTTGAGATGTGTTCATTGCTGCATTTTGTTTTGTTACACTGTGCTTCTAGTGCTCTTTAAAGATTTTTCCCTCTCTTTCTGGTTTATGTTAAGATGTTAGAAGAAGTTTAGAGAGAGCTGGAAATGAAAAGTTAGGGACTGAATGACCTGACTGTAAAGAAAAAGGAAGGCATTCACTATAACTGATTCTAAGAACAGATGAGAAACCTGCAGAGGAAAAGATGGTAGAAAGTTAGAGGTCTCACAGTGAGGTTTGAATGGGAGAAATGACTGAGAGAGGAAAACCTTCTGCAAATCAGACAGGCTTTTAGTAGAACCTTCACTCCTTCACAGTGAGTTTGTCATATGGGAGCAGCTCCAGCAACTGCCACTTGACATCTTTAAACTAAAGCTGACGTTTCAGGGCTCAGTGTGCAGTGAGGAGCAGTCATGCACCAGGAGGGGTGAACTACGTGATGCACAGAGCCTTTTCCACTCTTCTGTGATTCTAATTAGCATTTGCTTCCATGAGCAGATTTTGAGTTTTCTCCTTCCTTCTCCATACTTTTGAAAGATGTTGTGACTTTCTGTAGGAGAGACTGTGCTGAAGCAGGAAAGCAGGACTGGTCCTGGTACAGCAGCGCGTGAGCAGGAAAGTTTGCCTCAAAGTAATCCCTTGCCTGGACCAAGCTTGAGAGGCTTTACAAATTGCACAGCTGCAAAGAGTTATGGGTATTTGTTATCCCTTGGTATCCTGACCATGTAAAACCTAATTCTTCTGGCCATTAGAGGTTGCCAAGAGGGAAATGGCTTGGTAATTAGACTTGAAAGTGATGAATGAACGTGGGTCTGGTTAAATGCAGCACAGACAGTCTGTTTGCTGAACTTAAGAAATCTCTCTGCTTTGGAAATGGGACATTGTTTATATAAGTAGGATTTTTAGGATTTTTGGGCAGGAGACATATTTGTTCCTTTTCTTGTTTTTCAGAAGTAAAGCCTTTTCCCCTTTAACTGCAAATCATTGTAATGTAAGATAGGAAGTGTTGTAGACTGCTGTAAAATACACTGATAAATTCTATGTTCAAAGGGGGGAAAAAAAAGACAGACAAGGGACAAAATCAGTACCTGCATTTGACTTGTGGAGCCCTAAACAAGTTGGCAGATGAATGTTGCTAACCTTTTCGGAGTGAGGATTACAAGTGACAAAGTGAAGGGATATTGGTACCAGTCCCGTGAAACTACAACATGATGATGCTTTTTCAGGAAAATTTATTATCCCTAATGTTGGAGGGAGGATTCATAAGCCACAATTTACAATGCTCAGAACCTCTGAAAGATGTACTGTTTTCACTTTATGTATTAAAATATTTGCAGTCTTAACTTTTGAGGCCCTCAGGCTTCTAAAGGAAGCTGTGAAGAACAGCAGCTTCTCTTCTGTACTGTGCCACCTCTGCTTTTAACAGGAATGGTGATTAATCTTCTCTTTTTAAGCCAAGCTGTCTTTCTGGAATATTTTAGCACATAGTTATACTCTACACTAAAACATGCCATTGCATTTTTCTATCCATTCAAATTCTGTGGTGTAATGTGCAGCCTCTGTCATGAAGGCAGTCAGTGTCTTGCATCCAGCAATGAAACCCATGGGCTGGATCCTGCAGGGAAGCAGCAACATGACATTACCTAGAATAGAAATTTTCTGAGCAGAAAACCACTTCGTGCAGGGTAAATTGCCAGTAGCAGAGCTGGAGAAGGTATTGTCACCCTAATATTACTCATGCAAAGGCAAAATGAATGTGAACAAAGTATACACAGAAGGAATGGAGTTTCCCTATGCCATGATTATGTTGCAAGGGACCTGATGCTTGTCTGGCTCTGACAAGAATCTTTGTGTTTCTGGCACTGATTGTCCCTGAATTGGGGAACATCAGCTGATTCCCTGCAATATCTGAGCTGTGTTTGCATGTGGTGGAGAGTTGAGGTATTCAAAACTTTTGTGACTGCTGACTGAATTCTTTCAAGTTTTGGAATTTGGTATCAAAACAGAAATATTGTCTGGGGAAAAAAAGCTGCATGTCCAGTGCCAGCTTTTTATTTTAGGCCTAGCAAGGAGTGGTGAAAATATGAAGTTTTGAAACTACTTAATCCTACAGTAAAGCCTGTAATTGGCTTTGAAATAGCAGGTTTAAC